CGGCATTCCACCCCAGAAGTGACTGAAATGCTACTTGTGTGTGTATCCATAACTATGACAAAAAGAAGTAGACAACCATACAGCAAGATGGAATTCAGTTTGTCTCTCATTTGTAAGAGCGAATATTCTTTTATTTAATCAAATGGTAAACAATGCTGGTAAGTCAGGTTTTGATGGTAGATGTAATTGCAAACAAAACTTTATATTCAGCCTTTTCTGAGATGACCCAGCAAGTCTCTGTTCATATCCTCTGTGGTCACATTCCTTAAAAGCCTAGAAAATAAAATAGTCTCTCACACATTACTTTAAAAAATGCACATGGACTTCTTTAGTTTCTAATTGACTGGGACATACCAGACATCTAGTGGGGAGCAGCTTTGGTAAATGAGTATGCAGACAGACAGAGCATTTTCAAAATGTTGTTTTCATGACACCTTTGTTGCTCTATTTCATGGGAGTCCAACTCTAAAACATCATTGCTGGGAGCCATGAAACTTGCATAATTCTGAAGTGTAGCTAAAGCTTCTACACAGCAGGTGTGTATTTATGCTACCCTTCGAAGGAATCTATTCATTAATTTTATTTTAGAACTATTCCACTTCATGCATACAAACACTTCCCTTAAAGATTACTGGACTGCTCTTGGGAGTAACTCCTGAGAAGCTACCGTGTGCCCTTTAGGCACAACCCATCACAAGGGGTGTTATAGTATCTCACCGCCCCATTGGGACCATGGGAAGGCAGTCTGCGTCAGGTATTACATGTTAATTTATGCCATCTAGAGCTCCCTAGTACACTGAGCAAACATTCCTGGGTTCCTGATAGGCACAGAGGTCCTAGGCAGAAGGAGGCTGCATGCTTATTGCCATTTTCTTAAATGCAAAGCACCTACTTATTCCTGCAGTCACCTTTTCTGCTTGGTGCCTAGGGCCTGGGGTGGACCCAGGTTCTTGATTCCTGCTTCATCCATTCCTTTCCCAGCAGTCTGGGACACTGTGCACCTTCAAGGGTGAGGATGAAGCAGTCCCTATCCCAGCTTTCCATAGAACCTATCCCTATATGCTTATCCCCTCAGCAGTCCGTTTTTGGTTTAGTACATTCTCTTCTCGACTCCACAGTAGTGTAACAAAAGCCCCAGGCATCTGTTTTTTTGCAGTTTTTTCCAGGTGTTTCTGGGAATACCTGTTTCAGTTTCATAGATTGAGCTGGGATCTTTCTTTTGCTATTTCTGAAGAGAACTGATTACAGTACTATTAAGAAACTCTTATGCCTATTTTGCTGGGAGATAACGTCAGCAATTAGAAGATAGGAAGCAACTTTGCCTAGGCTAGTTGCAACTTCCTCAAGTTTTGTTACCATAAAATGTATCTCACACAAATATACTGCTGATGATCCACTACCTCGCAGTTTGTGGAATACACTTCATTCAGAAGATGGAGAGACCTTTGATTTTAGAAAATGAAACATCAACTGGTTTTCCTCTTCAGAAATGCAATGTCCGTTTATTTCTCACAAAAAGGATTCAGAAAAATCTTTCTAAAACTATATTTTAATGTTTAGCTCCAAACTGCCTTAACTTAAAATTAGAAAGAAAAGCAATGATTTCTTTGACTCACCTTACATGCAGTTGATTAGAGGAGTTGTGCATTACGGGCCAAATCACCAGTTGGTGTAAAATGCCATAACTCCATCAGTTGTGCCATGGAATCAATGGATCTATGTTGCTTTATGCCATCCAGGGATCTTACACCATTTGTTTAAAACTCAGATTATGTTGAATATTTCTCTTGATTTTTAATACATATCGTCCTAATATCATTATGCCGGGGGTTATGTGAAAATCCACTGAAGCCGATAGGCAGAGCCACTGCTTTCATTTAGAACAGTGGTTTTCAAACTTCCTAAGTCACTGAACCCTTTCAGATCACTTCATTTGCCATGGAACCCCTACCCCCATCCTTTGGGCTGTTGTGGAGCCAGGCAACCTAGCCCAGCAAGAGCAGCACACCACCTCCCGGTCAGCTCCATCATTGCCCCCAACCTTTTTGTGGAACCCTTCACAACTTAGTGCGGAACCCCAGGGTTACACAGAACAGTCTGAAAACCACTGATTTAGAAGAAACATAACAAACAAGCTCCTTTATGGTATGAGATAAATGCAGTGATAGGAGTCACCACTCAGAACACAGGTGGCATCTATCACTGGATTGATCAGTGGCTTGAACAGAAGATGAACCATTGAGCCCCAAAGAGTATCTCTGAAGACTGATGCAAATACAGGGTCTGGAACCTTGTGTATGAGAGAAATTGCAAAAACATCTGCCGCAACTGGAGATATTGAGAAGAGATAAGGTAGCCCAGACACTTCTGGGGAGGCCCAACCTTGAGCCAAAGGGAAAAATCAGAGTGAAAGGGAA